GAAAATGTGTATATTATGAGGCACACACCAGATATGCGGTAAATTACACGCAAAAACACACAGAGTCCAGAAAGAATTTTACTTTCCGTCCCCTCTTCCCCACCTCTGTAACCTATTCTTCTGATTCCAACCTTCTTCTCTCTGTAATATGTCTACACACAACGCATATATACATATGGGTGGTGCGGGGTGGGTATGAAGTATGTATACGTTTATAGCATTTGTGTGTATATAACATCTTGGATCTCCAACTATGGCCCACTTAAATGTGTTCTACATTCATTTCTCGATCTCGTCTTTTCTGTACTGGTAAGTTTCTTTACGTTCTCTCTGTTTTTATTGTGTATTTTTGTACCAAAAGTAATTTCATATATTTATGTTTCTGTTGTTTCAAGCTACCGCGCATTCCCCTAAACATTTGTTGTTTCTTAATATTTCTTACGTAAGATTTTAGGATTATTTCCAGCCAAACACGGTGTTGTTGCTAGTTGAATTTTCTTTTGTTTTTCTTTTTGACTTTTCTTATTAGTTGCTAGGTAAAAGAAAGAACTATATTGAATTAATTAATTAAATAATCTGGTGTAAACGGTATCTTGGATTTTTTATGGTATTTGAACAGTTTATTGTTGCTACTTGTAGAACTGTTGGGGCTGCTGAAAATTTTCAATCTTTTTTTTACAGTATTTTGATAGTACATTGATTTCTCGAATTGTATGCCTTTAATCAGCATATTACAGTATCAAAAAATAAATTCTGCGTTTTGTTATGGAATGATTTTACTAGGGAATCGGGGTAGAGACCTCCACTTTTAACCCTTTTGCACGGGTGGGTCATTTTCGTAGTCGATTGTGTTGTAAAAATGTAGCTATTTGTATAAGCAATTGTAACTCGATAAACTTTGACATGTTTAATCCGGAGTGGTGTATGTTATTGGCAATTGGACTAATGTTGGAATGCGAGGATCATTCTACTGTGATGAAACATTGTAGTATTCTTGTTGTACAAAACACATAGGAAAACGAAAATAATGACTAAAACATTAAATAGCTTCTTTGCCGAAACAAATCTTGTTCAAACAATTGATGCATATTCTAGAACAGTTCTGTTTCTTGTATCTTTTATTCTATCTTTTAAAATGACATGTTAAAAGATGAGGATGTTGATCGTTGGGTGATACTTCATTGTAAATTTTTGCCCTCGTGGGTTCAACTGCTTCCCCTGCTTTTAACTAGTGTTTTAGTATTAAATGCAGTTGCAATGGGGTTTTGAATACAATCTGAAGTATTTAGTTGGTGGGTTCGAAACTTGAAGAAGCATAATAGTCAACGAGCCAAGGGCATGATGTTGATAGGAGGTGATTACAATGTAAATTTGGTGCAAAGATATGACGGTTCTCTGCAAGAAGTCTTAAAACTTACAATGCTCAATCAGGAGGAAATTTTCAGAAAGCAGGTATTACCATTACTGTATTATGAGTACATAATTCGTTCAGTTGGTTGAGGCCTATGTTAACAACACGACACTGTACTGTCATGCTGGTGAAGAACATTTGGACATTGTAGTCGAGTTGTACCATAAAAATATTTGTGTTGAGAACTCAAATATTGAGATATTCATGCTTAGTTGCTTATTTAGCTCATAAGAACAAATGTTGGACTATGTTTGATGAAATAATTTCCTTGCCTTTTGGTCAATTAGCAGTCTATTCGTCTGTTTCTGGTTTTATTCAGGTTCTTGAACTCCACCGGTTGTATCGTATGCAAAAAATACTCATGAAGGAATTGGACTCGAAAATGGGAAGTGGGTTGAGTTACAGAAACGTGAGCACACATTCTTTTGTGGGTCGTTTTCTTTATGGTTCTTTATAAAATCTGTGGGGTTTTCTTCCTTTGCTTGTTTATGATTATAAAATCTAATAAATGGAGGTTGTTCATGTTCATAGGTGAGCACAACTGAGTCGATGAAGAACAAGTGTTTACACGACACTGGAAATTCATGCTTAAAACTCCATAGAACATGTTTAGATCTTGAACTACCCGCCAGTCACTGCAATGACAATGTTGATGAAGACTTTCTGAGGGAACAGAATGTTTATAGTACTGCAAAAGGGTCTTTCAAAATGGAGCACGACTTTCATTATGAAACAGTATCTTCTGTGGAGGAGCTTAGGCTCTCTCTGAGAATCAATAGAGAAACTTGGCAAAAAGGTATTTGCAGGCCAACGTGGGAGGATAAGGTTTTCTGTTCTCCTTCCCGTTTTGTAATTGATTTAGAAGGATTGAATGAAGCGTCATCCAATGGTAGACGTGAGACTTCTGCAGGAGTCAATCAATGTCACAGGGACATCTCTGGCTATGATATGTTGGCCAGGGGAAAGCTGTCTGATTCTCATGAAGTGGGATTGTTGGACCTCAACCGAAGTCTACTGGATGAATCATCTTTTCAGTCCATTGCTCTTGGAACGTCCTACCCATCAACAAGTACCGTTTCATGTGCTTCGCAAAGAACGGATGTTGAATATCGTAATCCTACTGCTCTTAATTGGAGAGAACCAAAATCTGATTGCTTCAATGAGTCGTCCATGTTGCTTCGGCCAGATACAGAATTTCTAAACTTGATGGCTTCAAAAAACAAGAATGACTGCCAACTTAATGGAGCAACTACATTATGTGATACGCATATTGAGTCCATTGGTGGGCCTTCAAAGAACACAGAACCAAAAAATGTAGACTCCCCAGCTATCTTGTCTGATGGAAATGAGAGTATTCCACCAATTCCAGAGATGAATGGCGAGAAGACCAAAGAAGACATGCCCTCTTCACATTTGGACACAAGTCAAGAACCAGTCGAGGGCACAGATAGCAACAAATCTCCAATCTCGTGGAAGTCTGATGGCATTGCTGAGGACATTTCGAGCAATAGAAATACAACACAATGTGGTAGCACCACGAGAAAATTGAACTGTTCACCTATGAAGAATGCATTCCCAAATTCTGAATCATCTCAAGTCGCAAGGAAACTATTTCAGGATAATGTTGAATGTTCTGGTGATAGTCATTTGAAATCTCAGTTCTTAGATCAGGTGAAAGGAGAAGCTGCAGAACATGATAAAACGGTAAAAAGGGGAGCCGTGTCTCTTATTTATTTTTCCTTGCAATGTTTAGCCGGAGATCAAAATTGCATTCCTTGTCCCAACAACGGAAAGAGGGACGTTACACAATGTTCTTCCGATTCCTATGAATCACTTGTACTAAAGCAACCCGAGAGCAACGTGGATGAATACTGTGTATCCTCTGCTGCTCCATTTGACGTAAATGGCTTGAATGAAATGGATTATGCAAAGAAGTTGAAAAGAGGGAGGAGAATGAAAGATTTTCAGAAGGAGATTCTTCCGAGTTTGTCGTCTCTTTCTCGACAAGAGATATGTGAAGATATAAGAATTCTGCAAGGAGCTATTCGGTCGAGAGAATACAAGAAATATAGAGCCAAGAACGATTGCAGAGATGACTACCTTGCTCCTGTGAGAGGCAGAAGGCCGAGAGGTAAAAGATATTATTCATGAAACATTGCTTGATAGTTAGAAATGCCATTTTACTTCTTTTAGCTTCATGAACCCTTTTAATTTTGCATTCTTGATTATCAGACAATTTCTTATAAACCTATTGCTTTGACACGTAATTCATTGACTAATCTGGCTGTTCACCGGTAGAAAAAATTTCTTGGTAGTTTTTTCGCTTCGAGCAAGAAGCAAACACGTGGGCCGTGTTTGGTCTCTCAATAGGGCAATCTAGTTTTGTTCTATACCTCGATTTATATAAAATTAATGAAGTTTTTTGTTTCATATAAAAAGTATCATTAAGAAATGTTTCGAGACAAATTGTAGCGAATGAAGGTTAACCTGAGCAAAATGGTTGAATTTAGATTGCAAGCATGTGCTTTCATTCTTGTGTTTTCCAACCTTTGGACCAATTCTACAGGATTACGTGCTAAACAAATTGGGCCTGAGTCTATGACCTAAATGAAATTAAATAAATAGGATTCATATAAATCTCAAAAGTATTTTTCTCCATGCAAAAAAGTGAAAACTTTATTTAGCCCTATTTGATGGCCATTATTGAGGAAAAGAAAATGATGTTTTGAATAGTGATTTAAAAAAAAAAATGTGTGGTTAAAAAGCAGAAAAATGTTTTGGATTCACGCGTAAAATATTTTATTATATGAATGTATGATTGAATATAAGTATGAGAATTAAATAATTTTATTTTACATGGAGACGAACATGGGCATTCACAATAAAGAAAATTTATATATAGTCACTAGAAAGTGGATGAAAATATTTTTATGTCTTGTAATTTATGTAGATGTCAATCTGAATTATATGCCAATCTAAAATGACTCATCCACAATTCAATTTAATTCAAATTTTGAGATTAGAATAAATACTGAATTATAAATGCGTATTCGTGCATAAATTGAATATTAGATGGATAATTGAAGAACAATCTCTAATATTTTTATTGATAATCATTGATAATCAAATAATTACTAACCCTAATGCTGGCTTGTACAGGTAAATAAACAATCCCTTGCGTGTGCTCTTCTAAACAATGTCAAATTTTAAGAAAATTAATCTAAACAAATCTCCAACTCTGTTTGAGCCCTATTTGTTGGGAAAAATAAATTTTGAAATAATAATTTTTTTTTTGGAGAATATGTGATTAAAAAAAAAATAGAGTAGTAAATTTATTTTATGGGAGAATCCGAGAATGAGTAGTTAAAAATGATTTTTTTTAATGAGTTTTGGAAAAAAAAAATGGAGCTCAAATATAGGCTAAATATTAAAATAAATTATTTAGACAGTAAATAAATTAGTATCTAATTACTATCAAAATTATTAAAGTGCCAATTTCACAACTTTACGATGGAATTTGGCTACAAAACTAGTGGACACTTCTCCTTGATGACTCATTGATTTTAACTAGAATTTTAATTTGCTTTTAAGTTAAACCAAATGGGGACTTAAGACAAAACATATCA